AAGTCATTTTTTTATTTTTAAAAGAAAAGTATTTTCAATTTTTTTGACTAATCAAACATGAAAAAATTATAAAAAATATAAACGGGACATACCATAAATTGGTTTGATTTGATGTAGGGGACGAAATAATTTATTGGGTGCAACTTTGTTTGCACCTGGCCTACATTGAAAGGGCCTGGCAAGAAAAAAATGGCAAGACAGGCTGCCATGAGTTCGACATTTTAAATAGGAGGACGATAATTACATTTTCTACTATAGTAGAAGCATGAGTAGAGAAAGTGATATCAACATGGCTGCTTTTTATCATCTATCAAAAATAAAATGTAAGTTAATGGCAGTTTTGACTTTTCACTTCATTGTGCACTAAAACGTGACTTTCATCCTGCTCTTGAAAAGCCAGGTAAGCTCCACCTATTTTTTTTATAATTTTCTACCGCTATGCACGGCTAGAAGTAAGAACACTTTAGTTGTTAATTTATCATCGAATCTTCTCAAGTCTGGTTTTCTGTTTCTCAGATGATACTATGAAATAATGGACATCTACTTGATCAGCAATGACTGGTAGGTAGTGTACTAAATTTGAACTTATAGCTATAATAATAAGTTTTTTACAAAGAAATTATAATGGCGACTCCTTCCACCTCTGTAGTTACGACATAGCTTATTAACGTACAATTTTACTATTCTTTGTGTAGCTTCTACTGCCGATGCTTACTATTGGCATAATAATCAACATGCTAAGTTCAGGTGGTGGATAAATATTATTCTCCGCTAATTAGCCGTACATTTCCAAATTAAATGAAAATGTAAGTTTGGTGGTTTAGTACTATTATATTAATGTTGCTCCGCAATCACTATATATGTGTGTGAAAAACAACACAAAAATATTTTCTATTTTAACCAAATGCATGCTGGAAGTGGAAGACAGACCAAGCGTTTTCTTAGTTTGGTACAATGACGACATTGGCTATATTTTATCTGAATCAAGAGGGAGTTCAGATATCCATTCATTGCAAATTCGTAGTTTCGATTGATCCTCAAAACTGAATGGAGAATCGATATGTATGTTCGTTGATGTATCGAGGGCTTCTTCCCGCCCTAACTATTGTCGCGTCATATGTATTGGGCACGGGGCAACCTCCATCTAGTTTTGGTATATCAATTTGAGTATGTATAATGTTTACATACAAGAGATCAAGTATATCAACTACATGAAGAAATTATATATCAAAAAGCTGGTATATATATAAGTGGGGCGTATCTACGCAAAGGCGAATTCAAGATTTTAAGTTTATGGATTCCTATAGTGATCATCTTAAGTTAATAAACAATGATAATGGGTTCGCATTCAAATAGTTATCGATATTTAGTGTATTCTTAATACATATAGAGAGCTTACGCAGAAACTATTGGGTTCACGTGAACCCCTAGATTCCCATTTAGATCTGCGCCTACCTTCGAGGATGTTCACCTAAATCCTCTCAACAAAAAATTACAATGAATATATAAGATATGTTTTTAGTTTTTATTTATATTATATATTTTGATTCTCCTAACATAAAATTAGATGTGATTTAGGGATTTAAAATTTACCTTAATATTTTAAGTTCAAATACCAAACATTACATTTTTTATTTTTTGAATCTCCTTAGTAAAAATTCTAAATTGAGTATATGTATATAAGGGACCATTAGATGAAACTTTAGAGAGTTCATATGCCCTTTAACTTGACTTTAGTTGATATTTAAGCCTCCAACTTTGAGTGTGCACAAAGTAGACACTTAAACTTGTATCAAATTGAACAAGTAGACACACGTATCTCACGTGTCATAATACACATAGGACAAGAAATTGCTATGTAGGACGAATGTGTTTATTTGTTCAATTTTATACAAGTTAAAGTATTTACTTGTGCACACCCAAAATTAAAGATCATAATTGACACCTACAACCATGTTAAAGATCATGTTTATGTATTATGCCTCTAGCTTCATTTTCCTAAGTTCATTTCCATTTATTTAATTTTAATAAAATAACTTAATTATATAGAGAAAAACTTCATTCTTGTCGTTGTAGAGGTTTAATTTGGTGGGATATGGTCATGCAACCTTAATTCCACAATGTCCAATAATTCAATACAAGATAACTTTAGTAAATTAAAAAGTACTTCCTACGTTCATTTATTATTTCTTAAAAGATATATCAAGTTAAATATGAATAATATAGAGATGAAGACAACTCGAACATTTATATTTATTTAGAGAGTCACAAGTCACAAGTTGGAAGGAGAGACGTAAACAATAATGTAACAACCAAATTAAAGCATATATAGGACCATTCATACCATTTGCGTCAGTTATTAATGCTTTTGGGTGGGACAAATCAATTCGTTAGTACAAAAGATATTGATTATGGATTTGACTCCATCACACCTTGTCCCTATTTCTTAAAATACTTCTTCGAAGATATTAATAATGTTATTTCAATTTTATGTAATCAAATAACTATTAAAGAATTATATCTTTTTGAAGATATTTACTAAGAATAAATTGGTAAAAATATTTTTTTATTTTTTTGGAGTGAATAGTTTCTTAAGGAGTATGTTGTATGTCCAAGGCTCTAAGCTAAAAATATCGCTTATTTAAGGATGGAGAGAGTACATTTGATGAGTGATGCTTGTCTTATTTATTTACTAAAGATCTAAATTAAATTAATTTAATGAGTACCTTAATTATAGTTAAAACTTAAAAGATTGAGTTTGGAAAAACACTCTTTTAACTTTGATAAGAAAAAAAATATCTCTCTACTAATTTTGTAATTAATATTAGTAATTTTATTTACACCCAAATATTGAACTGTTGGACATCAACACTAGCAAAACCTTAATTTTCAATTTTTTAAAAAGTGCTCATGGGATTACATTTGTTTGTCTTTATAAAAAATTACCTATCTTTACACAAAATTTTAAATTACTAAATTACTTAATAAAACTTCTTAATTTATAACAATTTAACTCCATTTGCATATAAAGTATAAACCAAAATAGGCTGATACGATCATACGTAAGTGATAAACTTTGTTTCCACATGAATTCCCCAATTTCGTTACAATTTAATTTGTCAAGTATCTTTCTTTTATCATTAATTTCAACCAATTTTTGTGTGTTGAAAATCAATTGGCTCGATTTTACTGGAATAACTTGGAGGAGTCAATAATAAAGTTTGGATACATTTAGAACTTGTTTTAATATAAAGAAAGAAAAAATCGAAATCAAATTTTGCGAAAAAGATGATTGTTGTATATCATTATATATATGTCATGTGTATCAATGTTATCTATGATAAACAAGTGATATATATGTAATATACATAATATTTACAAGTGCATAAATGAAATTGTTCTTCCACAACCTTGAAATTCGATATCATATTTGATCTATAACTTCACCAAGCCAAAAAAATCGTATTTTTCTAACCCAAATTTTGGCTTCAAAGCTCAAACACAAACAAAATCATCAAGTCAAATTTTCGATTACCAATCTATTTTAGAACTTCAATGGTGATTAAATAAGGAAAAACAACGATAGAATTTTGAAAGTCGTATATATTATGTGAAAAATTTATTACAATATTTTCAAAGTCAATATAATACGGTAAGCTATTATAATATATGATGTTTTATTTCATTAAAATTAGTTTTGTGTGTTTCCTTTAAATGAATTGAAGTTTGTAGTTCATCACAAGTGTTTACGGGGTACATGAATTTGCAATATAATTTTGTTTACTAATTTTATTAATATTATATATGTTTTTAATGATTCTTAACTAACTCTAGCTAAATAGTTAAAGTATAAATAAATAGTACTACTTCATTCATTTTAAACGTATTATATTGAAATTGAAAGCAAGTTATAACAAAGTTAATATTAAAATAAAACAAAAAAATCATAAGTCGGAACTAGTGGCGGATCTAGAATTTCCATTAAGGGGGTTCGCAAAATAAAAAAGTAGTGCCTAAAATTTGATTTTGGAACCTCAAGGTGAGTTTGAACCCCTCAAGCTAAGAAAACCTCTAATCTTACATTTAATTAGAAGTTCAAAATTAATATATAGACATAAAAAATCTTTTAAATACCTTAAATATACTACGCAATAATTTGATCGAGGGGTTTGGGTGAATCCCCTCGGCAACCTCTAGCCTCTAGGTCTGCCCAGAACCTTCTTGAGAAATCCATTTAGGTCAACCTCCAAAGCACCAAGAATATTACCTACTAGTATTCAAAATTATTCCATGTGATACATGCGCACTTCATTTTTCTTCACATAAACAGTATTCAAATTATTGACTATGCAGACCTTAATTATTACTTCTTCATTTATTTTTATTTATCTAATATTTTAAAAATAAATTTATGATAAAATCCTTTTATTAATTATTAACCCTTAAATTTATGATAAAATCATTTTTTAAAATCTAATCTATACATTAATTAATATGAATATTATGATATAATTCTGATATTAATCATTAATCCTTAAAATAACGTACAAATGTGAACAAGTAGAAGTAATCGATGGAGAGAGTACTCTATATATCAAGCTCGCTTCCATTATTTTTTATTTTTAAAAAGCCACCTTACATCTTTCTTCTGAAACTACTAGTATTATCTTAACCTTGTTTTTTTTTTTTCAGTGTCCGCATTTAAGTTTCGATTAAATTTAAATTGTACACTGTAAGGCTTATTTTGTGTGCGATGTTTTCAGTAGAATTTTCTCCATATTTAAAATTTAAACTCGAAATCTCTGATTAAGAGTGAAATAATGTCACCATTCTACCACAACCCACACTGATATATTATATCAATGTTGCTTCCATCTTTCTTTTAAATTATTACTGTATATATTTTACTATATAAAACAGGACCACCATTATTTCATCATCCCAATACATAATTAACCCCTCCTCAGCTATCTCATCATTGACCTCATTTTGTTTCATCAATGGCTTCTCTCAATAACTCCATTCTCACATTCCAAACATGTACACCCCATCAGCACGAAGGTACAACTGATTTCAAACCCGCCGATTCATTTCTTCCTCCCTCTTATTTCCTTACTAGAGTCAAGTCGTCAACCAGAACACGCTCTTTGTCCTCTAAAACTAGCCAATCTTTCACATCTATCATTAACGAGTTCGAAAAAGAAAAGATCAACAAATCCATCGATCAATTAGAAGAAAGTGAAAATACTAGTAAAATTTATGAACCGGAAGTAGTAGATCGATGGCTTGAAATTCATGGTCAAGATGATTGGGTAGGTATGCTTGATCCAATGGATCCAATTCTACGTAACGAATTAATTCGTTACGGAGAAATGGCTCAAGCTTGTTACGATGCTTTCGATTTCGATCCATATTCTAAATATTGTGGGAGTTGCAAATTTCCAAGGCGTAAGTTTTTTGATGGATTAGGGATGGCTGAATATGGGTACGATATCACACGTTATCTATATGCAACTTCAAATATTAACTTGCCAAATTTCTTCAAGCAATCGCGTTGGCCTAAGGTAACTTTTATTTTCTGTCTGAAAAGTCAAAATTATTAGAAAAAAGATATATCTTTATTTACTTAATTATTATGTTATGTCGGAATAATAGATATGGAGTAAAAACGCGAATTGGATTGGTTATGTTGCGGTTTCAAATGATGAAACGACGAAACGGTTAGGGCGTCGTGACATAACAATAGCATGGAGAGGTACCGTGACTCGTTTGGAATGGATTGCTGATTTAATGGATTATCTCCGTCCGATTTCTTCAGATAATATACCTTGCCCTGATCCTAATGTCAAGGTGGAGTCTGGATTTCTTGATCTTTACACTGACAAAGACGAGAAGTGCAGGTATGTTTAGTTCATCAAAAAGTTTAAGCAACACAAAATTCAATCTCAGTACTTCTGCCTGCTCTGATACCATATTAAAGTGTGTAACTATTTCATCTAAAAGCTTAATCGGTTAGACAAAACAAATAACTCGACTTCAATACTATGTTGAAGTGTGTAATTATTTCATCTAAAAGTTTAATCTGTTAGATAGAACACATAATTAGACCTGAGTACTTCTGTCTGTTCTATCTAACCATCTCATCTAAAAGGTTAAGTTGCAAGAGAGAGCAGAGTTTTATGATTTTTTTTTTCAGAATTCTTATTTGTTACTAAAATTTGAATGATTTATGCAGGTATTGCAAGTTTTCAGCTCGAGAACAGATACTAACGGAAGTGAAAAGATTAATAGAAATGTATCCAGACGAGGAAATGAGCATAACGGTTACCGGGCACAGCTTAGGCAGCGCGCTAGCAATATTAAGCGCGTACGACATAGTCGAAACGGGCTTAAATGTAAAGGAGGATACAAGTGCTGTGCCAATTTGTGTATTTTCATTTTCAGGGCCAAGAGTTGGTAATGTAAGGTTCAAAGAAAGAATTGAAAAATTAGGTGTGAAAGTGTTGAGAGTTGTGAATGTTCATGATATTGTGCCAAAATCACCAGGATTAGTGTTGAATGAGAATTCACCCTCTATGGTTATGAAGATATGTGCAAAGTTGCCATGGAGTTATTCACATGTTGGTGTGGAGTTGGCTTTGGATCATAAGAATTCACCTTTTTTGAAACCAACTAGTGATCTTGTTTGTGCACATAATTTGGAGGCTCATTTGCACTTGCTTGACGGGTTAGTTTTCCTTTAATTTTACTCTTTTACGTGAAATTGTTTAATTAGACACAACCTTTTTTTATTGAAGAAAATGACAAAAGTTATAGATTTTTTGGTGACTATAACCATCTTGTAAGATTAAAATGAAAAGTTTAAAGTTAAATTATTACTATTAAGTATAAAAAAGTAGCACCAAGGGTATAACGACCTAGTGGTCAATGAAGTGGTTGAAAACCCTGAGGTTTCATGTTCACAAATTTAGCGAGACAAAAAAATACTACGTGATTCTTCTTATTTGTATTAGTCTTGGTAGATAAAGTTACCTGATACCTATTGCTGGTGGGAGGTGACAGGTATTCCATGGAATGCGAAAGCGGACCCTAACACCACGGTAATTATTTTTTGAAAAATAACAAGTGTTATATAAATCGAAACTAAATTTTCTTTTTTTGCGCATAATTAATAACAAGAGTTTAGTACTACACAACAGTTGAATAAAATTCATAGTCAAAAAATATATATATGCTAAATCTTTATTATTATTTTTTACAAATTTTAACCAGTATAATTATTGTATATGGCAGCCGGATGATGACAAAAGAGTTTAAACTTATCAAAATGAAGATCTAAAAATATACTTATACAATTATATACCAAAGTCGCCTACCCTGATAATAATTAATCAAGTTGCTACACATATAAAAACTTTCTAAAACCATATGTTAAATAATAAAAAAAAATAAGTTCACGTCTGAAAGGAGTTTAAATTGAAGATTCTGGTACGAAATGTTAAATGGAGATGAGATCTTCTATATTACAGAAAATATGTTGTATATTTTCATACTATATTACTATTGATTCTGATTCGACATTAAAATTATATATTAAAGTTGTTGTGAGGTAGACAACTGGGATTTGGAATTATTTAAAGTTGAGCATATTATTATTATCTTGAACAGATGCATAGACTAAGACTTCAAAAATGAAAAATAATAAACAAAGACAAGTAACATCACCATATATATATTTTTTTAATAATGAATAGAGTAAGATAAGACATCACTTATTATACATTTCTTTATTAATGCGCATGGCCATATATTATTATATCTTGTTTTGGAATTTCTAGACATACAAATCTTATTCACATGAATCCATACTGTCTAAAAGCTCTAATTCCAACAACAATCTTGAAGTCAAATACAAAATCGAAACAAAGTTATTGAATTTTCTTGAGTGGATCGATTCGTAGCTCTACCCCTAAATTTAACTCGTAAAAATAAATAGCGTAATTATTCTCACATCGTAAGTTTTTTAAGTCAAAGTCATAATTAAATTTTAATAGTATGGTTTTTTCTAATATATATCTTAAATCTTAGATGAAATGATTACACCTTTTCTTTTAAGCACATAAGTTTGAATGACGTTAAGATCATGATCACACTTCAATATCATTTCAGATCATTGTCTTGAATAGTTTGAATTTCTTTATCACTATCATAAATTAAATAAAAATAAAAAAAGACTTAAGCTTTCACATAAGTGACGTAATAAGAAAGCTATATATATATATACTGTATTAAAAGTACGATTTTTTTAACAGTTTAAACTCTTAGACGTAGAATCAGATACTTTAATATATCACTATTGATTTGTGTTTATATGTGGACAGATATCATGGAAAAGGGAGAAGATTTGTGCTTGAAAAGGGAAGAGACATAGCATTAGTGAACAAAGCATGTGATTTTTTGAAAGATCATTATTGTGTTCCTCCCAATTGGAGACAAGATGAAAACAAAGGCATGATTAGAGACAAAGATGGACGTTGGATTCAACCTGAACGTCCTAGACTTGATGATCATCCTCATGATATTCATCATCATCTCAAACATTTAGGACTTTAATTTAATCTTCTTAATTAATCAAGGAAATAATTAAGTATATGTACTCTAATTATAATTAACGGGATCGTTCTTGTAAAGGTAAATTCTTACGTACATGCATCTTTAATTACACACTTAGCGTTGTCAAGATTAGTTATAATTTTTTTTCCTAAAGTTTTTTCAACACAGAGTCGCAAGATGTATGTTATATAACCAATTTATGAAAAACCGCAAAAAGATAAAAGGAGGGGACTAGACTTTACCTCCTATATACATATACATAGATTGCAAGTAACAAGACTATACAACTAACTAACAAAGTTTGCATCTTAATTATCAGATCTAATTCTGACACTAGAATTAGACTATACGCCATGTAGATAGTTATTTGATGGCATATATAATATATAAACGTGGTTTTTAATTTTTACCTCAAATGATATTTATGTCTTCTAATTCTGGGTGTATATAAGTAGATATTTACTTAAATTTATAAAAAGTTGAACAAACAAACACATTCTTCCTACGTAACATACTATAATATAATAATTTTATATCCTATATTACGTCCTACGCGTATTATTATTTATCCTCCCATCTTTTGCGGAAGAAATTACTAAGTTGTTGACCTTTGATCAGATGCAAAGGAACTTATTAAGAAGCATCTAATTAATTTGCACAGTGAGAATGTCTTGTCCATAGCTACTTTGATGCTCCACAGTAACGACCCGTCTGGCCTCAAGAATACTTGGAATATTTTGTAGAAAATTTTGAGAAAATTTGAGAAGTGGTGTTTGGTTATATAACGTAACTTGACAAATATATTTGTCAAGTATTCCGAGTTCTCAAATACTAGAAAAAATTAGTATTTTTGGGTCAAGTTCTAATATTTGAAAATTTTAAAAAATTTAAAAATTACCCCCAAACTTTTATATTTTATAAAAAAAATACCCATTATTTATCAATTCCAACTAATATTTGTTACTACCTCATCCGGAAAAGTTCGAATTCTAATTTGAGTGACAAAATTGAGAAAAAAGAATAATTTTTTTTAATGAGTTATAATTATAACTGAATCAATGACAAATTTGAATATGCAATTAATGTATTGTCTTGCCTATATGGTATTTTGTTGTTGTTGATTGCTATCAATTATGTTATAAGGTTATTTTTTTAACAAAATATATTCACTATAAATAGATAATAAAAATTTATGGATATCTTTAATAGTTTTTAGAACTTATAGGTATAAATCATATTTTTTGAAATAATCAAATATTCTTGAGAAAACAATTGAGACCAAACACATGGTGTAATTTGACTAAAAACTTGGCCCAAATATTATTTATCAAGAATATTTGGAAACTTGAGGCAAAATGCTAACTAAGATTTGATATATGCTCTATTTTTCTAAACATTATACTCCCTCTATTTCATATTAATTGAATTGTTGCAGTGTTTCACACCCTTTAAGAAAAGAAGATTAAGACATAAATTAGGCTTAAGTTTCCATTTTTACCCTTATTAATTATTATCAAAATTATGATTAAAATAACTAAACATTAATTAGTAACTAATTCCAATACTAACTAATGAAGGGTAAAATTGGAAAAACATTCTAAAAATAGTCTTGAAAATTGAACAATTAAATTAATTTGAAAAATGAAAAATGTCTCAACAATTCAATTAATATGAATGGAAGGAATAATATCTTGGCTGATTTTTCATCTGCAAGAGCATCTTGTTTTCCACAATTTCCAACACACCATAATTGATACAACTTGGGTCAATAGTTTGTAAACAATTATTTAATTTAATATAATAAAGTAATGTGTTTGATTAAATTTTTAAGAGGAAAAATAATGCTTATACGAAGTAGCAGAAATTATTTTTCATAAGTTAAAGAAGTAGTTTCTTTTTCAAAAATACTTTTAAAAAACACTTTTTGAGAAAATTAAATACACGCTTGTGGCTCACTTAAAATTAAAAATTCTAACTTATGACTTTTGACTTATTTTATTTCTTTTTAACTTAAAAACATGTATTTGATCCATTTTATCCAAATACTATAAAAGTACCGTCAATCCAAACAAGCACTTTAAAAGGCTTAGTCAAACTTTAATGGCTGTTCAAAGGAGTGTATTAAATAAAACTTGGCATTTGATAGCACAAATTAAAACATTAACTTAAGAATTTGAATAAAATACCACTTTTAAAAAGAGTTTAGTTAAGCCTATCTGTAGGATCAGAATCTGCTAGGAGATGAGATCATCTTAAAAAGCTTGTGTAAATAATATGGTTGGCTAAAGATTTTACTATCAATATTAATTAAAGATAGCTATCAGATCAACAGGATCTGTAGTCTGTACTTATTTAGAAGAAGACAAATAAAACAAAAGACAAGTATGTATGCACCACATCACTTTATTTTTTTTTATAATAAGAAAGATAATGTAGATGACTCATCCATTTGTTTATCAATTCTTCACATATCTTACTTACAACTCACGTGGATCCATCCATATACAGTATGAATTATGAAACTCTGATGATTGATAAGAAAAGAGATCACGTATAAAGTTTAAATTAAAGTTATTAAGATTTGATGAATACGTAAATTCAACGTTAATTTAAAGTAGGAGTAGTTGATGAAAATACGAGGGAGTCAAGTCAAGGAGAGGGTTAGGAGTTTTCAATAATGACATTTTAGAGATTACGAAATAATATTAGGAATATATTACTAAAATTTTTGAGCTGAAAAATTATAAGTATGAGATGATCAATTTAACTTAATTGTGGAGGTATGGGATTGGTTAATGATATCAACATGAAATGTTCTCATTACACAAACATTATCTAAAGACAATGTTTATGCTTAAACCACCCAAATATAAAAAGCGTAGTAATAATAATAAAGAAAAAAATAAGCAAGTGTTATATCGCATATTTTTACTTATTTCATCTTTGACTTGACACATCCTTAAAATTATCTAAAAGAGTGTATTCATTTTTCAATATTTAAATGATTTCTCCCTTATTAATAATAAGTCATCTAAATATTTAAAAATAAATATTATTTAACAAGGGTAAAATAGACCTAAATTTATGTGACTCATTTTAAATTTCGAGATCCAAACAAGTCTATATTTGATCATAAATTTTTCATATATCTTTTAAATATTTTGGATTGTCAATTATTGTGACTTATTGTACTTTTTACATAGTTTACAAATATGTAATATTTTTTTATAAAAAAATGAAGATTTTACGCGCAAATTCCAGATCAAACTTAAACTATTTGACTCTCGAAAAACGAAATGTGTCACATAAATTAGGACAGAGTGAGTATATTGAACAAATGAAGATGGACGGAATAAGTAAAACGGCATCCATATATATAAATATTTCTCACAACTATATTTATTTATTTAGTATATTAGACAAATAAAAATGGACAGAACGGTAAAACGTTATCCATATATTATTACTATTACTTATATATAAGTGGGAATAACCAAGCACCACACCTTAACATGTGTTCCAATAAGAATCACTACTAATATCCAATATATTTATAAAATATTTAAGTGGGCCCCATCACCTTCCACTTAAATACTACATATTATATATTAATTACTATACTATAAATGACTTAAATACTCCATATTATATATTACAATAATTAACAATTATTTGACACTTTAAATTCTATCAATGCCATATAAATTAAGATAAAAAAGGTAACATATAATATTTAAATATATTTAAAAGTAATATAAGTAATACTATACATTACAATAATTAACAGCTTAAATATTTAAAAGTTATATAAAAAATTTAATTGACTCTCTAAATTCTATTGGTACCACATAAAATAGATTATATGATAAACATATATTGTTTGAAATTGACGAAAAAGAAACAATAAATTACAATAATTAATAAAAAAAATAGTCGACTCCAAAAAATCTATCAATTAACAACATATATTGTTTGAAATTGACGAAAAAGAAACTATAAATTACAATAATTAAGAAAATAAATCTCTCAACTCCAACAAATCTATCAATTAATGCCACATAAATTGGGATAGGGCAAATAACATATATTATTAAAAAAATAGGTTCAAAATGTACTATAAAATATAATAATTAACAACTTAATATATTAAAAAGACATAAAAAAGGGTTAATATTTGAAATTCTGCATGTGCCACATAAATTAGAACAAAGAGAGTAATAAATATTATTTTCAAAATTATGTTAAAAAAAGTACTACAAATCACAATAGCTAACAATTTAAAATATTTTAAAAATCATATAAAATTTTCAATAACTTCTCAAATTCCATAATATGACATAAATTTAAAAAAAAATAGAAATATATATATATATATTGGGCCCCGTGCTGGCACGGGGTCCTAGTATATATATAAATATGAGTAATTGCTCTATATAATAATTAGACAAAACGTGGACAACTCTTCAAATCCATTAGGAATTGGAAGAATACATATCCCCAGCATCATGATCTCAACCACCCTACACAGAAATTAATGACCTTATGGAGCCGGCCTGCTTCTTTCTCAACAATAATTCAATTTTTTTTTTTCCTTTCTTATTTCATAAGTTTTCATATATTTTAAGGTATTTTGGGATTGTTTGGTTGGTGGTCGGGATGGTATAGACAAGTATATCCCACTATGTATAAAGTAATCTCATATTTTACTTCGAAATTATAATCCTTATAGACTAACCAAGGAACCTTGAGAATTGTGTACAAATCAGAGTAGGGAATATTGACAGTTAATTTGGCTTTACATGAACAAATATCATAGAGGAAGGTGAATTCAATCATGAGTTATATATAGACAGTAAGTTCTGCAATATATATTCAACTTTATCTCGTATACTAGAGTACACATATGTGAAAAACAAGTATATACTAATATATAACTTACTGTCACGATTTCGAATGCATCCTGAAACTCCATTAGAGATGAATCAAAAATATTTTAACACA